TGTTTTAACCATGTTTAATAAATATATATATGATGTTCCAACTGGTGCTTTTTCCAGGAAAACTTTGACGTCACAACTTTAGCAAGGTCGAGATCTTCACCTCATAATCATGATGGTAATGTCAGTCAGGGGTACTACTTGTACAAGTAATTTTTATTTACTTGAAGCAGTAAATATTAATATACTTTAAAGTAAATTTGTAGGATACTTATACAAGTGTATTTTATTTACTTGTAATCAGTCAGGGGTACTACTTAAACAAGTGATTTCAGAATCACTCCCTCGAGTGATTTTGGCTGTGAAATATTAAAAATTTTCACACAGACTTTTTAAAATCACTGAAACAAGTAATTTTAGAAGTTAAAATGTAATCACTTTGATAAGTGTTTATAACATTTTCTTGATATTTTTCCCACAAGCTTGATTTTTTTATTGGTAAAAAGACAACAATTCCATTGAAAAAAAACAACTATGTATATGCAGAAATTGTCTTTTGCTTGATAAGCCTGACACTTTTACAGTTATTTTAAAATATGCAAAAAATGGAATAGTTTGTAGATCAGGTCATAACCTTGAAGTAGATCATTCTAACTCTAAAGAAAACCAATCAGGTTACCTAATATTGTTGATCTTTGTCTGATAGTAAGATCTAGAGTAGTTAATGAATTTTTGATTACAGAAAAATTCCCAAGGGTACTTTTAAAAGCTTTAGCGCACTAACTTACTGCCCAAGCGCACTGGTGAAATTAATATACAAAGAAAAAGGGATAATTGATTTATGTAGGAAAATTATAGAAAAGATTGTAAAAATATGGAAAATCAAAGAAATTAGCATTTGAAGATCAAAGAAAACACTAAAATCACTTAAATAGGTGATAACTGAATTTATCAAATCACTGAAATAAGTGATGATGAAATCACTTGTTTAAGTAGCACCCCTGACTGGTAATAGGCTTCAGACCACAATTAATTCCCTTTGTTCGTGGTTTAGGAATATAGTTCCCTATTATTATATGAGGTATTTCTTCCTAAGTATTCTGACTATTGTTTTCTTTGAAATCATGGAAATGTTTACTATTTAAGTGGTCCTATCAGTTGCATATATATTGAAATAAGTAAAACATGTGGAAAAAATTTATTGTTGAAAGTGAAAGTAGTGATTTGGCCAAAATGTAAGTAGGGTAGAAATTCGCCTTCGTCATTTATTCAAGATTCAAATCCTACCATTGGCATGTTGATATGGCTCTCAAAAGAAAAAGCACTGATGGATTGTCCTGGGACAAGCATATTTTATTCAAATAATAATGGTCTATAAGCAGGTAAATTTATTTCATGTTTGAAGCGGTGCAATTTTTTTAATTCAATTAGACTTTTACCATAAAATGCATTGTAACCAATGGGAAGAATAATTGTGGTCTGAGGCCTAGGAGATGAGTTTGGGCAAAACACAATTATTGTGAATAAAAGGTCTTTAGTCTTACAGGTACAAAATGATCTAAGTCAGATTACCTTTCAAGAAAGAAAATAGAAATTACAGAAAATTTGTCAAAATAAGACATTTTGACCATATTTGGGCATATAAGGCAGGAATTGGCATTTTTTACAGTAAACATGATTTCTAATGAAAATTATAGAAAAAAAATTGTGAAAATGCACCACATTACTTATTGAATCAATGAGGGTATCTTATAAATGCAATTTCAATAAGTTTTTCCAAAATTGGTTTGAATCTGGGACATTACATGACATACAAACACATTTAAAACTTTGTAAAGTAAAATTTCTTAAAAGTTCAAAAGTTTCAATTCTAAATTACTTTTAGTTGTTTAGAAGTAAATTACCAATAGAGAGGATAGAAAGATGAAAATAAATAAACTTTTCTGTGTTAATTTACCCACAATTATGCTTTTTATGGCTGTACCCTTATCATATTGACCAATTCTGACTTAAGATTCAGAGATATATAAATATGAAAAAAAACTGGCACATATGGTGCAGTTTGCTTTAACACTTGTCTCATTACAACTAAATACAAGTTATGTTTACTGTAACAAGGCATATTTTGGTAAAAAATTACTATACAAATATTTTCTGAATAAAATTTTGACTGAATTCTTAAAACTTTGCAAAACGCATGTTCCGCAGACAGATATGCTAATATAAAAACATTCCAAACTTTTTTAATAATTGTCACAATGTAATAAAATTTGGCATTTATACTACTAAGATATCATGCTAAGTAATTGTAAAGTTTCATAAGAATACTATAAATTTTTTAGGTCTAATAGGCTTCAGACCACAATTAATTCCCTTTGTTCATGGTCTAGGAATATAGTTCCCAATCATTATATGGGGTATTTCTTCCTAAGTATTCTGACTACTGTTTTCTTTGAAATGTTTACTATTTAAGTGGTCCTATCAGTTGCATATATATTGAAATAAGTAAAACATGTGGAAAAAATTTATTGTTGAAAGTGAAAGTAGTGATTTGGCCAAAATGAAAGTAGGGTAGAAATTCGCCTTCGTCATTTATTCAAGATTCAAATCCTACCATTGGCATGTTAATATGGCTCTCAAAAGAAAAAGCACTGATGGATTGTCCTGGGACAAGCATATTTTATTCAAATAATAATGGTCTATAAGCAGGTAAATTTATTTCATGTTTGAAGCGGTGCAATTTTTTTAATTCAATTAGACTTTTACCAAAAAATGCATTGTAACCAATGGGAAGAATAATTGTGGTCTGAGGCCTGTATAGGTAAAAAAAAATTGGGCTTAGTTATGTCCCTTAGACATTCAGATTTTTTTACTTATAGAAGTAAAAAGTAATCCTATCTTCTTTACTTGAACTCTTAGGACTTCTTTGCTCAGAGCCTCTAATAGAATTTGTAATTGTCTGTCCTTTGCAGATGTCTTTACTAATCATGGAAGTGTAACTTCATGGACAAAATTATGAGCTAACCTGAGATACATTGTTAAAGGCATGTTTTTACATCTCAAAACTTGAGAATTTTTGTGGGATTGTAAAAAAAAAATACTTATACAAGTAAATTCTTGACAAAATAAAGGGGAGATTATTCAAACATTATAATTAACTTATATAAGTATATTTTATTTACTTCTTCAAGTAAATAAAGATTACTTGTACAAGTAGTACCCCTGACTGACTGAAATATCAGCAAAGTAACATGAACCTTAGCCATCTATTTAGGTTTTTTTTTTTTTATAATGTATATGTATATATATTTCCAGAATTCAAAATTATTCTAGATTCAAATAATTTCCTTTTTATCTGACAAATACAAATTCAACAAGCTCTTCCACATTACAACAATTGTCAATTTGTGATGTATTTATAACCTCATAATTGTGCACTTTTATCATGCTTATGGGAAATTATAATTTCGACCGATTTTTTGCCTAAATTTCAATAGGTTTCCCTTCAAACAACATTGGCCACATGCAAGGACCACCATAATTAATTTGTCACAATATGTTTCTGATCAGGATATCTTTTTATAACAAGTTTGTTTAGGTCTAAGGCTGTGGCCATAATGTTTTTCAAAAGGAAATAGACCATAAAAATGCATAAAAATGCTAAATTTGGCTTATCACTTGAAAATGTCACATTTTTGAAGCTGTCAACATGATTAAAACAAACCACATACAACAAGAGTGTCTAGTTCATCTAAATTTGAATATTAAAGATCATAAATATAGGTTTTTACATATGGTGTTACAAAGTTTGATTTTTATGGCCAATTTACAAAATGATTTAAGGCCTTTGTGCCCATTATTATAACTCTTTTAACCAGTCAGGGGTGCTACTTAAACAAGTGATTTCATCATCACTTATTTCAGTGATTTGATAAATTCAGTTATCACCTATTTAAGTGATTTTAGTGTTTTCTTTGATCTTCAAATGCTAATTTCATTGATTTTCCATATTTTCACAATCTTTTCTATAATTTTCCTACATAAATGAATTATCCCTTCTTTTTTCCTACGACCTGTTTATCCCTCCCCGAATGACTGCAGGTCAACCGGGGCAGTTCCCTTCATAAAATCAAAATTAGAATCTTGTGTATTGTCAAATACTAACTAGGTTATCATCTTTAATATCTTATGATCATTACTGTCAGAGTACATGTAACAAATGTTGTACATTTAACAAACAAGACTGCACATGCTGAAATGTCTTACCTGCTTTACTTATGATTGAATTTATGTGGCAAGTCTATAAATATGGACCTATTCAAGTACATCCCTTCTAGGGAGCGGTCAACATTAGCGACTAAACACAAGGTTTTCTTTTTTGTAATGGTTGTTTAGGACTTTTTGTAGCACATCATGGACAAACAAATGAGTAATCTATGTTTAATGTTTTTTGTCAAACAGTTCAATTTAAATTTTTAAATAAATTTATAAATTTTTATATAATATTGCTAGAAATGTGAAATTTTGGTTGTTGCATGGCTTTATTCAGCTGTTTTTAAATGACATTGTCATTGTGCATGAAATGATGATGCTTTGTTTTATTTGTTTTGAATACGTTTTTATATTCGATAAACATGATAAAAAGCTCATCAGAGCTTATGTTTTAATGTTTTATGCTTTTCCGAATTAAATAAAGTTTTCTATGTCTACATGGTCTATGTCTTTAGTCTTTAGAAGTGTCAGCTTGACACTATAATCTCTCTGTACTTTTGATCACTCAGGTAATTTTATGTCACTATTGTATAAAACTCATTAGTACATTTGTATTTATGATGTGGCACTGCAGAGAAAAATTAAATAAATAAATAAATAATTAATAAAAAAAAAAAAAAAAGGGAATAAATAATTAACCCTTATAAAACCTTAACTATCTATTTTGTGAACCTTCCAGTATCTTTAATAAAGACCCCTAACAAATGTTATGAACAGACAGATTTTTTTAAATATTCACACCCGGAAATTCCACTAAAAGTATTTACAGGACCAGTTTTCAGGTAACTTACCACAATAATTTAACTACTTATACGTTTATAATTCTTCTACATTCATCGTGCAAACAGTGCAATGAACAGGGACCTAATATTAAATGGTAAAAACAAAGGCAAATTCCAAAATCGGCATATCGATCATGAACAGGAAATTGCACCTTCACGATAAATACCGGACCGTAGAAGTCCTACCCATCGATTCCGGAATGACTACATCATCAGTACAATATTTATAAACAAGTCTAAATTGAAAACAACGGTCAAACCTATGATTGCGTTGGATAAAAACCGCAATTTTTATACGTGTGCATGCAAAACAAATTTCTTGTTAGAGGGGTCTAAATACAGCACAAACAACATTTTCCAAAAGACCAAAAAAATGAAAAAGTATCATGATTTTAACAAAACTGTGACGCATTTGACTAACAGGTCGAACAACAAATGTTCTTAAACCCTGCTGACTGCCATTGGCGATTGCCAAATAAACGGATCACCGATGTAATAAATGAATCTTTATTAATACTAAACAGAAAACAATAAACTTGCGGAAAAGATGGTATACCGCAAACAAAAGGTGCAACGGTTTTTGTGCACCATATCCGGATTTCGACAATTAATGTCTCTTCAGTGATGTTAGGAATCGAAAAGGTATTTGGAAAGCCATACAATTTACCTCAATATTTATATATATACTTCAAGTATTTTTAATAGTAAGTCTTACCTGGGAATAGTATACAATGTATTATGTTTCTGGTCTTACTTAACAAATCCTTGTAATCAAACACTGATTTTTCTTTCTATTTTTTTTTAATATCACCAGAGATATATATAATATGTATTGTATCATGTCCACATGTGAGGCCCCTCATGGGGGTGTCGAAGTAATCACATAATCATTAATTATTTTTTAAACAAGATAATCAAATAATCAAAAATACAGTCCTAGATTATCAAATAATCAAATAATCATGAAATATTTGGTCTGGTAATCAAATAATCACTATATTAAAAAATGGCCAAGTAATCACATAATCAAAAACCCCACGAGGAGGCTCACATGTCCAGGCTTTGCATGGTAACAAACAAGCGTCCAATTGGTAAGAACTTAAAATTAGATTTAAAAGCAAAATACTCAAACAGAAATGTCTGTTACCTTCTCTTTGATCAAGATATGTATGTCTTCAAAGTTGGAAATTAAAGTTTTGTTAAAGAAGGAAACTGCACTGAAAATATTCCCTTCCAGAGTTACATGCATGGTCATTCCCTTATCATTAACTGTTTAAATAAATATGCAATTAATGGAATTAATTACTTTGGGATTATAAAAAAATCTTTGGATGTTTTAGATAAATAAAGCGCTTTGGGTAGCCCTTTCAATCATCGGTTGACTGTTTTAAGACTTTTCGACTCTCTTCACTACACTTCATATCACGATCTTATCAAACACAAATTTTATTATTTGATTACAGGTCTTTGAAAAGTTGATTGCATTTGCTGCAACTCACATCAAGCCTTCTTCCGTAATGTAAAAGGTAAATATGCTGGAGATACCTACTGGGAGTAGGTAATATTATTTAAGCTGTATGATTTTCTCTTGGACAACATCTATGTATACGTTTCGGCAATATGGTTTATCGACAGGATGTTTTAATTCAATTGAGCACCAATGTGACAAACTTGTTCCTGTATTGTTATGAATCATAGCCACAAAGTTTAGGCCAAACTCAATAAAGACCCGCCCTAAATTCCATTTAATTGATCAATTTAACAACAATTACCGTTATTTTGATGCTATTTTTTCGTTAAATTTTCAAGAATTCTCTAAATATACTGCGGCAATTTACACAAAGGAACTTTCTTTGAATACATCTCATGTGAATAGCAATAACTGAGGGTAGGAATGACCAGCTTAATCGTCAAGCGTCCGTTTTTCGCTACCGTTAGCGTCAAATGAGCCTTAATTTTTTATCGTCATTCGTCACATCTTATTTTGTACCTACCGTTAGCGTCAAATGGAACGTTATTTTAACAAATATTTTACCGTCATTCGTCATGTTGGGTACCCCATTCCTATACCCTAATAATTGTCTTTTCCTATTTTTTTATACTTCAGTTTCATTTGGAAAACTCTTCACAAAAAATTGTTAATTAATTTTCCTTTTCTTGACTGTTATCATCTTTTTTTGGTCGTTTATTGTTCGCGAAATTCATAACAAACATACCATGATGATAGATATTTGAACTTAAAGAAGAACATGTTTTTGTGATGAGAAATCTTGATTAGTAAATTAATAAGCTTAGAACACATTGACAGCTTATAAACAATTACAAATTAGAAAGTCAGAAAGTCAAACCAACTTAATGTTAACCATATAGACAAAAAAGTGATAAGAAATTTAGCAAAATCAGTATACATAATAGTGTCAATAAATCTCATTTAGAAGATATTATTTGTCCCTTATGTCTTTCAGGAGTAGAAGACGAATTTCATTTCACATTTAAAAGTACAAAACAAAACACAAGTTAAATTACTATCATGGTTATCGAAATTTGTGACATTGTTACACAATCGATCCTGATAGTGAACGAGAAGTATGACATTGTCGGTGCTTTGCTTTTGCGCCAAAATAATCTTTCATTTGCGCCACAAACCATATTTCATTTGCGCCAAAATAAAACATTTCATTTGCGCCAATAATACAGGTAAATACAGGTAAATAGTATAAAAAAATATTTTATTCAAAAGGGACTTTTAATATTAACTTCAAAACACAGTTTTTGATTGCATTATAAAACATATTCCTCCAAAATTAGCCATCGAAACCATAATGAAAGCACTATACACGTTCTTAATAAGAGACTTTTCATAATAATGTTAAAACACAGTTCTGTTATAAATTAACGAGATCATAAAACCTAAATGAAAGCACTATACACTGGAGTAAAACCAAAAGTTTGTTCTGACACAAGACTTGTAAGCAAAGGCTCGGATGTACTGATGTACACTGGATAACCTATATATGTGGTCATAAAAAAATACAGACTTATTTCCTCTATATAAAAATAAGGGGATGTGTATGACAACTATCCACCAAAGTTCAAATGAAGTGGATGACATCAATTATAGGCAACCGTACGGTCTTCATCAATGAGACAACCCATATCGTATAGTCGGCTATAGAATTAAAAAATATGAAACAATCCAATTCTGAGAAGACTAACGGCCTATTTGTCTCAAAATTGACAATGTCCATCTTGGCACCTCAAACATGTGAACACTATATAATTTTAAACCTAAGTGACTCTCAGTTTTATATCAAAAAATGAGTTAGAACTTACTTAGACTCTTAAAAAACATTCTTATTCACGATGTAGTAATGAATATTCTAAACTTTTCCGTTATATGTTACCTGTAAAATGGCGCAAATGTAGTTTTTATCTTTTGGCGCAAATGTATGATTTTTATCTTTTGGCGCAAATGTAGTTTTTATCTTTAGGCGCAAATGAAATATAACCTTGTGGCGCAAATGAAAGGTTGGATTTTTAAAAAATTGGCGCAAATGCAATGCGCCCGACATTTTTACATGTGTCGCCGAAGGCAAAAATCATGTCATTTATTAACCGCTCGACTCCGTCCGTCCGAATGACCTTGGCTTCTATTTGGTCTGTAGCTTCATAATGTAGAGTTGTAGCATGTAAGCAATATTTACTTCCACTGTGCAGCTACTTCCTGTTTGCCGATCGTTTGAAATTGTACAACACTCATTGTACATGGAAACTTTTCGTCAAACTTTTCTTGGCTCTTATTGAAGGGAATGATTTAATATTTGGTCTGCAGCTTCATAATGTTAGGTTGAGTAAGCAATTTTTACATCCATCGTCCAACCACTATTTGCCGATAGTTTTAAATTTTACAATACTTATCTCTCACTCAGATGTAAAGTTAAGATGTCAGGTGCACAACTTTGTGTCCCACCTAAAGAAATATGAGTGCAATTGTTTTTTAAATACTGGATAGTTCCTTTTTCAAGGAGTCGGGCAATCGATCTGTATTCATAAGCGAATTTAGAGGGTCCAGTTGACAGAGGCCTTTTGACGACAAAAACGACGATTTTGAAAATAATTAGGCAAAATAACATAAACAAAAACGTTGTATTTATAAGCTGAAAAAGTACAACTTATAATACAAAATTAATATTTTGTTCTTAAAATCAATACTAAATTTCCATATTCAATGCACAGGCGATCTCAAAACAGGATTATGAATTGCGTACTGACATAAGCTATTATATTGCGTTGGTCATGTTATTCCTTCTTCTTTAGGGGCCTTGATTGCCAATTGGGCTATATCACTAGCCTATCAACACTGAGGTTGTGAGTTCCAGCCCCGCACGTGGCAGGTGCAGTCAACTCCAATCTCAATCATTTAGGATTGTCAATTTTCTCTCACCAACAATGCAAAAACTGAACACCACGAAATAGCCAACAGTGCTGTAAGTTGCGTTAAACATGCACCAATCAATCAATAAATCAATCCTGCTTCCTTCTGTCTCTCACACAGTCGTATAAAAACAACAACTTCACAATCTTTTGGTTAATTTACAAATAAGAAATGAAATAATTATGTGAGATTTGCTTTAAAAAACTGATTTAAGTATAAAATTGAAGTTTCAAACTGTTTCTATTCTAAAAACCTCATTGGAGTTTGTTGCCTGTGGTATGAATAAATTGAGATTAAACATATCTTGAATATGATAGCCAATGTTCTAACCATTTAAACCTGTGTGAAGGGTTTTAGTTCGGGATTAACAAAAGAATACACCCTAGGGTTTTGAACTATTTACAAACTGGCTACAAAAACAAAAAAAAAACAGAATTGTTTTCATTGAACTTCTTCAACATGTTTTTTTTTCCACATGTACATTTCAACTTTAGCCAGGAACCAAATCAGCACCTAAAAATGAAACATCCAGTTGTTTCCTGTTTTACATGTTGCAATGTTATCTTTCGGAAATAAAATGATTTAAACATTAAACAGCAGCTATATAAGAATCCATGTCAGTTTTGTACATCTTGTAGAAAAAGAAATGAGGTAAAATTATGCATCTTTAATATCTGTTATCTGGTCTGACAATTAGGTTCACGATTGCATTACTTTTTTAAAGCAACTTGTTAGATATATTTGTACGTACGTTTCTTTGAATTTTTAGTCAGTTTTGTTGTATGTCTGATACAAAACAAGGATTCACCCACCATTTTCTTTGGAAATAGCCTGTACCAAGTCAGGAATATATGAAAGCTGTTTTCACTCGTTCCGTTGCAATGGTTGATACCATTTGATTTTGTCAGTTTTTATGGACTTCCCCTTTTGAATTTACCTTGGAGTTCGGTATTTTAGTTATACGTTTTATATACCATTTTCTCTATTCTTTTTTGCAATCGTTTTGTTCAGTTATACAGGCATGCAATGTCGAGTTACCGGCCGACTGTGACATACTGACTAATTGGTATAAGGTAAGTTTTCTTAGAAGCAAACCACGAGCATTGCTATCTTGTTTTTAGGATAAAGCAAAGGATATATGATTGCGTTGGATAAAAACCGCAATTTTTATACGTGTGCATGCAAAACAAATTTCCTGTTAGAGGGGTCTAAATATAGCACAAACAACATTTTCCAAAAGACCAAAAAAGTGAAACAGTATATTTTAACAAAACGCATTTGACTAACAGGTCGAACAACAAATGTTCTTAAACCCTGCTGACTGCCATTGACGATTGCCAAATAAACGGATCACCGATGCAATAAATAAATTTAATACTAAACAGAAAACAATAAACTTGCTGAAAAGATGGTATACCGCAAACAAAAGGTGCAAAGGTTTTTGTACACCATATCCGGATTTCGACAATTAATGTCTCTTCGGTGATGTTAGGAATCGAAACGGTATATGTATATGATAAACAAGTCTAAATTGAAAACAACGTTCAAACCTATGATTGCGTTGGATAAAAACCGCAATTTTTATACGTGTGCATGTAAAACAAATTTCTTGGTAGAGGGGTCTAAATACAGCACAAACAACATTTTCCAAAAGACCAAAAAGTGAAAAAGTATATTTTAACAAAACGCATTTGACTAGCAGGTCGATTAACAGATGTTCTTAAACCCTGCTGACTGCCATGGCGATTGCCAAATAAACGGATCACCAGACTGTAACAAAATGGATCTTAATCATTAATTTGATACCAAACAGAAAACAATAAACTTGCGGAAAGGATGGTATACCGCAAACATAAGGTGCAAAAATTGGTACACCATATCCGGATTTCGACAATTAATGTCTCTTCGGTGATGTTAGGAATCGACACGGTACTTAATTTAGGATTGACTCTTGAATTTTGAAGAGGCGAAAAAGGATGAACGGATTATATAAACCCGAAGGCAAATATAATACAATTATATACGATAAATATACCAGTCATAATAAGGAATCATTTATTATAATTTATATACCATGCGGAAACTAGTAAGACTTTTTTTTACAGTTATTATATTTGTATTAGATGTAATCGTTACATGTATCTACGCCTCTGCTTGTCTAATGAATGGAATGGAATGGAATGGAATGGAATGGAATTAAATTGAATTGAATTGAAGGGATTGCATCAGATTTGATAAATTCACCCACAATAAGGTAATGTTATATGTAAGTATGTTGTATATATGTCTGGTATGTGGTATAAAAAGAGCAATTTGAATATTCAGTGCAAACGATGCGGAACTTGAAAAATATTCAAATACTGTACCGGAACGCCTATGTTATGGGCAGCAAATAAAACAATTACTAATAAAACCATACTTACTAATGAGGTATCAAAGAAAGATTGTAGGTTATGTATGCAAGCTTAATTATGTAAAGTAATTGGCCTGCTAATATAAAAACCATGCTGTCAATGTGTCAATTATTTTCTGCGTTTTGCAGTTAATAATTTTCATGCATTTTCACTGTGTTGTAGCAGTCTCAGATTTTCATCATCCTTAATTGGACATGTTTTTTTAAAGATTTTACGAGGCCAGAGTATGATTTCACAAACCCTGCTGGTACTCACAAAGAATCATATGAAATGGTCGTCCCCTTACTTTTGGAAATCCATGTCATGATATATGGTTAAAGGTGATATGGGATGTATACACCAATGCCGAGGCAGCAACCAAAGCGAAAACTATAGAAAATTAATAAGCAAGAAATAAATATGAAGAAATAAAAGATATAATTAAGATCATTTTTATTAGTATAAAATCCAAACAATCGGATTGCTACTAAATAACACAAATAAACAATACAAATGTGTAGCGTTTACATAAAACAAAATAAGTTTTTTGTATTTGTTTTTTCTTCTTACTTTTCTTAAATACAAGACGACATGCCTCTCTTCCGCCAAATTGCACCTATTTTATCAGTGTGTTCACCTACGTTTATATACGAACCAGACAAACGTTTCCATTCTGTATTTATTTTGTAGATGCATCCTTATTTACTTTATACATGTAGTTCCACCAATATACATCCTTATTTACTTTATACATGTAGTTCCACCAATATAATTTTGAATCCATATTGAATCATAGAAAAATGGGTTTGAACCCATCTCCAAACGATTCGTGATTCTGTAATGAGGAGTACCAAAATTGCATCTATGCTTAATTCCACATCCGTAAAAATCGAATAACTGATTTTTGTTTTATTTCTCCAAATATTTACTGGAACAATATGACTATAGTCAATGCTTACTATTCATTTTTTTAAGAAATGCATGGATGCCTGTACCATATTTTAATTGTTTATTTTTTTAAAGTTGACTTTTTGTGGACGTCGCATGGCGACATTTCCGTAGATTTTACTTTTTCCAGTGAATACATCATCTGATGACATGTAATGGTAATCACAAGAAAAGGATAGAGGGGATTTTTTTTTACTTATATTGTTAAATCGCTTTGAAAAGACTTTGAACACCTCAAATAAGTAAAACTAAATTAATATAAGTTTTTTTTGAAATATGAAAAAATATTTTCAAATCAAATATAAACACACAAATAAAAAAAGGGGGGATCCACTCCACAAAAGCCTGTGATGGTAATTACCGTTTCAGGGGCGGATCCAGCCATTTATAAAAGGTGGGTCCTAACCCAGGATAAAGGGGGGGGGGTCCAACTACATGTCCCCTTTCAAATGCATCGATCGTAAAAAAAAGGGGGGGGTCCCTCTGGATCCGCCACTGCGTTTTGTGAATATTTAAATATATTTAGCTATATGTTGAAAGACGTTTAAAATGTCAAATCATAAAAATACAAATTGTATAGTCTCTAAGAAAACTTGTAAGATTTTCCGCTGCTACAGATTTTTGCTAAATGGGTGCAATTTGGGTACTCGGTGCAATTTGTGTACCGTGCCATTAAACTGTGATATATTATATTTAGATAAGCCGGACAAGCATAAGGTCAAAAATAATATTCTGTCCGTAACAATTCTCACTATAGGATTTGGTAAAAATGACTGAATATAGTATATGTCAGTGGTGGATCTAGAAATTTAGAAATTTTCATATTTAAAGTGGGGGCCCACTGACTGCCTAAGAGGGGGCCCGCTCCAGTCATGCTTCAGTGATTCCCTATATAATCAACCAAATTTTTCCCAAAAAAAGGGGGGGGGCGGGCCCCCTGGGCCCCCCCTAAATCCGCCTCTGTATGTCTCTAGTAAAATATAGGCTCTTAATACCCTATGTTTTTTTTTTGAAATCCGGAATTTCATATCTTTAACGGTTATTTATCCAGTGATTATTTTTACTTTCACATCTTTATTTATTTTTTACACGATTCGAAGGTATACATTGGATGGTCAACACATCATATGAACTAAAGAACAGTCTAGAAGTACGTCATTCAGTTGATACATAATCTAATGAAGGTTTCGGTACCACATCCATGCCCATAGCATCATGTCATACATGCAGCCTGTCTTTGTCTAAATGTTTAAATGTGTTCACTGTTGTTGAGGTTCATCATGACAAAAATTGCTGTGATAACATCTCAAAAATTACAAAGAGTGCAGACAAACCTGTGAAGGTCCAAAGATTAACCCCAAAATACCCCAAACATGCAAAATACCAAAAAATATCCCAAACCACCAAATTATATCAATAAATATAAAAAAGAATATGTGGTATGATTGCCAATGAGACAACTCTCCAGCAGAGACCAAATGACACAGAAATTAACAACTATAGGTCACCGTACGGCCTTCAGCAATTAGCTAAGCCCATACCGCACAGTCAGCTATAAAAGGCCCCGAAATGACAATGTAAAACAATTCAAACGAGAAAACTAAAGGCCTAATTTATGTACAAAAAATGAACAAAAAACAAATATGTAACACATAAACAAACAACAACCACTGAATTACAGGCTCCTGACTTGGGACAGGCACAAACATACAGAATGTGGCGGGGTTAAACATGTTAGCGGGATCCCAACCCTCCCCCTAACCTGGGACAGATGTGTAACAGTACAACATAAGAACGAACTATAAAAATCATTTGAAAGAGGCTTAACTCATCAGATGGATAAAAATACAAATACAAGTGGATGTGGCCGGGTACTTGTACATCCAAACAACAAAAAGACACTAAGTACAGATCTGAGAGTACTCGCAGTTACTGACAGCTAGTTCAAAGCCACTAACAACTAATAAAAAAAATCATGCATCTAAGACTAAATTATCAATCCGTACACATTCAACATCCAATGGATTTAGTGTAAAGACGTCATAAACAGTCGGAGAAAAACATGACCTTGTGCAATGCCAAGATACAGGTATCGACAGATTGTAGATCCATGAATTTGTATATGTATATAACAATAATATTTAGTTTGCTTTTAATTTATTGATAACAAAATCAATATTAGTACCAATAAAAACAATATTTAATGATCTAATTATGTACAGTGTTGAATTGGTAACCTTTTAGAATAAGTTTATTTAAAGGATCGATAAGTTTACCAGGATCGTTTCTAAATTCACAGGCATGGTAAACAATATTGCTGTAAAAATGAGGATGTGCAATCCCGTTTGAAATAAGTTTTCTACAGGTACAACCAAACTTCAAAACCAAATCTTTATATCTGTGGAAGAATTTAGTAAAGGTTTTAAGTAATTTGTGGTAACGAAATCCCTGGCTTAATAATTTACCAGTAATACAATCATTACGTTCCTTAAAATCAAAATTCAAATAATAATTACATCTTGAAAGGCTATTTAAATTTTTGCTTTGACGCCTTCCACCTTCCCAGGATGTTGGAAGGTCGAAGCCATTTTGTTTAAAGCTCGACTTTGAGAGGAAATTTTGCTCTCAACTTTGAGACCAATTTTCACGATGTTGCCATGAAATATTCACTGACGGCTAGAAAATTTTATCATTGATAACACTTCTTACCTTTTTAGAGCTTGTTGGTGTAAATTGTTTCCAGAAATTTCCAAAGGTAATGATAAAATGAATGACGATTACATCCGAGATGATAATGACCTACTTCTTTTTTCAAATGGTCACCCAGATTTCCAAGATCCGTAACCTTGATTAGCATGGTTAGGAGATTATCAATGAATTTACAAACAAATAAATTTACAAACCAAACTGTAAAATTTGAGAACAAAATTAAATGTCAAATTAACCCCTGCTTTGAACTGGATAGAGGTGAACAATTTAAAACAGATATGGATGGTGATGGTAGCAAACCACAGACTCTGACAGAAATAGGCTTTATTGCTTGCTGTTCGGTGTGAGCCAAGGATCCGTGTTGAAGGCCGTACTTTGACCTATAATTGTTTACTTTTTACACATTGTGACTTGGATGGATAGTTGTCTCATTGGCACTCATACCACATCTTCTTATTTGTACTTGTTGTAAATAGGAGAAACGAATCATGGTCTTCTTTGACTATTAAAGAGAAGCCAAGAGTGATATTAGATCGGTTACAAATTGATTATTTTTTAATGAAATTACTTTAATAATGTATCAGTCTATACACTATTCCTAAAAATGAAATGGAAGAATGAAATAATTTCCATCACAACACACAGGGTTTTGTCTTGCTGAAAGTTCCTCTACCCATGGTTAAAAGAGTTATAATAATGGGCACAAAGGCCTTAAATCATTTTGTAAATTGGCCATAAAAATCAAACTTTGTAACACCATATGTAAAAACCTATTTTTTTGATCTTTAATATTCAAATTAGATAAACTAGACACATTTGTTGTATGTGGTTTGTTTTAACCATGTTGACAGCTTCAAAAGTGTGACATTTTCAAGTTTTAGGCCAACTTTACCATTTTTATGCATTTTTATGGTCTATTTCCTTTTGAAAAACATTATGGCCACACCCTTAGACCTAAATAAACTTGTTATAAAAAGATATCCTGATCAGAAACATATTGTAACAAATTAATTATGGTGGTCTAATGTTGTTTGAAGCGAAACCTATTGAAATTTAGGCAAAAAATCGGTCAAAATTATAATTTCCCGTAAGCATGATAAAAGTGCACAATTATGAGGTCATAAATACATCACAAATTGACAATTGTTGTAATGTGGAAGAGCTTGAATTGTTGAATTTGTATTTGTCAGATAAAAAGGAATTATTTGAATCTGGAATAATTTTGAATTCTGGAAATATATATATATACATTTATGTAAAAAAAAAACCAACTAAGTAGATGGCTAAGGTTCATGTTACTTTCGCTGATATTTCAGTCAGTCAGGGGTACTACTTGTATAAGTAATTTTTATTTACTTGAAGAAGTAAAAAAAATATACTTATATAAGTTAATTATAATGTTTGAATAATCTTCACTTATATAAGTAAAAAAATCTGAATGTCTAAGGGACACAACTTAGCCAATTTTTTTTTACCTATACGAGTTAATAAAATACACTTGTATAAGTATCCTACAAATTTACTTATATAAGTATATTAATATTAATTCTTCAAGTAAATAAAAATTACTTGTACAAGTAGTACCCCTGACTGTCAGTATAAACTAACAAAACCCCTTTGCCATGTTTGCTATGCAGGCATGGCTAACCCTCCTTAATTGGGTTAGTTTTAATAATACATAAGGACCCTTTGTGAACATACTCCTTTCCATGCATGGATGGAGATCCCAAGTCTTGTGTTCTATCATCCCACATATTAAACCATATTAACTCAAAGCCTCATTAGGAACATGTGCTTCATATTAGCCAACAACACTGTAGTCTGTACATAACCCTCCTCTATTTAATTTGATCTGCTATTTTCTTTCGAATAAAATTTTGAATTGAAAAATATTTACTCAATTGGATTTTTGTTTTCAGGCAAAAAATGGCAGACATTTTCCTAAAAGAGGACAGATATGGAGAAAAGTTATTAAACACTTTGGATACTTTAAGAAAAGAAAGAAAATGGATTGATTTTTATATTGAAACTAAAACTGGTCTAGTACCTGTTCATCGTATTGTGTTGGCAGCTTCTGAGATCTGCCATCTTCAGTCACAAGTCTACCTTTGTCAGGATGTTAATACTCTGGATCTGACAGACTTCAATAAGAATATAGTGGAAATATTCATTTCATATCTTTATACAGGAGAAATAAAACTGGTCGGAGAATCCAATATTAGAGATTTTATCAATCTTTGTAAAAAATTAGATTTCAAAACTGTATTGTTACATGAAAAGTTTCATCACTATAACCGTATCAAATCTAAACTTGATGGGAGTAAATCAGAACTTTTAAATCAGTGCACTTCAGAAACATGTACGTTAAGAGCTAAAAGTAAAGATAAGGAAAAAGTTACTCGTCCACCAAAAGTTACCTCACAATTAGACGAAAACTTTACTTGTCTATCAGAAGAATCTATAAATGCATTAAATCCACACACAGTGTTCATGACCACAACTGTAAATGGTCAGATATTTGTAAAAACAGATTCAAATATATCATGTATATCCACAAATCATTCTGACATAAATGTTAGCTCAAAAAGTGTAAGTGAAGAGACATTTGATCATTTTAAATCACATGAATCCACACAAAAGGCAGATTTTTCTGAAGATCTAGAAATAAAACAAGAGCCAAAGACTTATGATGGACCAGATATTGAAATGTCAGAATCCACACAAAATGAAGATTTGCCTATATTTTATGAAATAAAAATAGAACCAAATGGTGAGGAAGAAAGTGATATTGAAATGCCTGAATTTGCAAATATACAAAATACACATTTTTCAAGAGAAAATAAGGTTCAAAATTCTCAAAAATCATTGCTAAGTAACAAGAAATCAACATTAAAACAGGAAGAACAAACTAACAGGACAAAAACATCACCAGATACTAGAAAATTCATGTCAAAAGATGTTGAAATGGACCATGAAGAAACTAGTGTAGATTTTAAAATAAAAGGGACAGAGCTTGGTGAAGCCTGTGGAAACTGTGATAACCAACAGATGGAAATGGGTGGAAATCAAGATGATATGGCTATAAAAAAGGAGCAAGAAAATTTGGATTCTGTAAGTCTTTGTTAAAATCAAAAACGCAACAAATTTTATAAATGCACATGTACTGTAATGTATCTATATAGGTCTATGTTAAGTTATTATCACACAGTCACACACAACAGTGTTTTAAAGGTACGGTACTTTTCAATTTATAGGGTTTTAACTGAATAGTATTATTTTTAGAATACTGATTTGCTAGAATCCTGTATTACATAATGTATATGGCAATCTTTAGATCATTATAAAGAGTATGTAGAGTTGATGTTACTCAGTTATTAAAAAATATTATTAAAAACTATATGACTTTTAAAACCATAAATTACATACATGATATAAATTGCTTTTAATGAATAGAAGTCTTAAGAGTATGTACAGACATACATTTGACATAGTTGATCAATTCAGTATCTTAACATGCTTAAAGAACCAGACTTTTACTTATCCATTCCTCTAATTAAAATTAAAATACTTAATTTTCATGATTTAATAATTTAAAAAAAAAAACCCACCCGAACAATGCAAATTGTACATGTACTAATTTTGATGAGTATAGAAATAAGAAGATGTGGTATGATTGCCAATGAGACAACTCTCCACCAGAGACCAAATGACATAGAAGTTAACAACTACAGCATTGTACAGGTCACCGTATGGCCTTCAACAATGAGCAAAACTATTACCGCATAGACGGCTATAAAAGCCCTGAAATGACAAATATAAAACTGGTAATTCAGATTTCTTCAACATTTTAAATGTGAATAGTTTTTTCAAAACCATAATTTGTTATTATGGTATTTGTATGAAATTTTTTTTTATTTACATGTACAAAAATGTAGAACTATGCCAAAAATTTGTATTTTTGAACAAAAATTGTTTGAAGGGAAGTCACTCTTGTTTTTTTACATCAATATAAATGTATGTTAGTATTTAGTGAAATATTGTTCCGACTTTCCTTTGTAGCTCTGAGATGACTTAAGAAGCCATTTCTGTGAATTGGTTTAAAACATTTTAAAAATCTATCAATCTGCCTCATTGGGCATGTAATCATGGGAGGTAATTTGATGGCACATTGTAAAACAAATACTTTTTTTCTGATTTTCAGAATATAATAAGGACATTAGTAAAGACTACACAATCCAGACTGAGGAAAGATAACATACGTCCACGTTATTTATGTCATCACTGTAACTATATCACACATGATAAAAGTGATTACAGTAAACATACCTCTCAACATACAGATAAGACCTATATGTATATAGTACCGAGAAAAAGTACAGATTTGAAAAAAGCACCAGGTATTAAGCGACCAACAATAAATCAATCAATAAAAAAATCTCCCACAAAAGTAGAAAGTCTTGCGAAGAACTCATCTGATCAGGTTTTTAGTTTTCTGAAAACCTTACCCATGTTACCTGCAAATCAGCCAAGCTGGCAAATTTCTTGTGAGGAGTGTGGTAAGACTTTCCGTAGTAAGTTTGGACATACCTTGCATATCAAGAACAAACACAATATGGACTATAAACATCTTTGTAGTGTGTGTGGCAAAGGATTTAATCAGGCCATTCAATACAGGCATCATTGTAGACGTCACCAACATCAGATCAAAGTTGATACATGTCCACTTTGCAAGACTGAATTTATCGGCTTAGGTTCCTTAAAGCGACACCTAGAGACTTGCAATAAGTCAAGTTCCTATCCACATCTTTGTGATATTTGTGGTTCAGGCTTCAGTACAAAAGGGAAACTGCAGGAACATTACAAAGGAAAACATGAAGAACCAAGATATTCTTGTTGGATATGTTATAAAAGATTTAACTGGAGATCAAGCTTGAAGGCACATTTTAGATGCAAACATAAAGGCTTTGATTTACATACAGAACCAGCATAATTTGAATGACTTGATAAATGATGGTTTTTGTTTCACAAAAGTTGACAGTTTTTTTGTCTTTTGTTATGGTTTTGTGGACTTAGTGCTGAAATGATCAGTATAAAAGCCTATCCAACTGTTTTTTTGTCTTTTGTTATGGTTTTGTGGACTTAGTGCTGAAATGATCAGTATAAAAGCCTATCCAACTGTTTTATTTTAGTTTGTAATTATGATGTGTTGTACATTTTTGTTGTAACACCACTGCTCCAGGGTAGGGGAGGATTGAGCACTCACAAAATGTTAACCTGTCACATTATGTGCCTGTTTCAAATCCGAGTATCCTGTAGTCCTGTAGTTATCATTAGTTAGTTTCTGTCTGCCTTAATCATGTGAATTGTGGGTTTTTTTTCAGGCTATTGGTTCTCATCTTTGAATTGTTTCACATTTTAACTTTTATAACTTACTTTAGGTTTTATTAGCTTTGCAAATGGTTGAAGGCTGTACAGTATCCTATAGTACATTGTTGACATGCTAGTCCTTTTGTATAGTTTTATAGATGAATGAGTAGATTATCAATAACACTTGCACTGTATAAGAAAGATTCTGTCAAAAAGCATCATTGAAAGTCAGTCAGGGGAGTAAAGGTGACAATATTCCTATCCATTTTTAGCTCACCTGGCCTAAAAGGCCACGTGAGCTTTTGCTATCAGTTAACATCCTTCATCGTACATTAAAGAAAAATTTTCCTCTGAAACAAGTGGGCCAAATGTTGCAAACTTTAACCATGTGTTAACTGAATGTAACTATGGGTATCTGGTTTAAAAATTGTATCTAGGGTTTTGATCCATTGAATACACGTAGCCACTGTTGTTTAAAATAGAACATAGGGATAAATGCAGTATATGACGTGAATCTCGAAAACTAAAGCAAGTATAGCAAAATTGGCAGGGTAAAACTGATCAACAGGTCAAGGTCATCACAAGCAGAATTTTCAGAAAAAGCAGAAAGTTTCACTATTTTTGGTTATTATCTTTAAGGTATATGAGAGAGAGAAATTTTACCAGTAAAATGACCAGTACATTAAGATCTACAAATAAGTTAACATGGCAAAATTCTCAAATGACCCATTATAGAAGTTATTGCCTTTGAATAATGTTTTTTTACCGTTGTTGCATATTTTTTTAAGGAAACTATAGAGAATCTTGAGATAGAAAAAATGTTCAACAGAATATGATCTACAAATAAGTCAATATTGACAAAACGTCAATTGACCCTCTTAGGAGTTATTGCCGTTGGAGGCTTCATACCTCTTTTTACAGATGCCTTATTTTAGGAAGTTTCTGTCTGTCATATGTCCATTCTTCTTGACCTGGGTTTCATGGTTCAGCGACTGCTTGAAAAAAAAAATGTTTTTTTGTCATGTGGATTTCTCACTTAACAATATTTGGTATATAGGGGACTTGGAAGGTCTATATGGGTGCACCTGACTTTGACCTCAGATCAAGGTTAAAGTTGAGTGAATAGGTCCGTTTCTCAGATACTGTAGCAGTAAGTCAACCATATTTGGTGTAGGGAATAATTGTAATGTGTAAATGTCATCTGACGTTGACCTCATTTTAACGGTTGATAGCTCAATGTTAAGTTTTTGTATTACGGTAGGGTTTATCTAACCTTGACCTCATCGTCATGGTTAATTGGTCAATATTAAGTTTTTATGGTTTGGTTTGTTTCTTATCTGTTAAATACTATAGGTAATAGTTCAACCATATTTGGTGTATGGAATGATTGTAAGGTGGAATAAAATAGAGAATGGAAATTGGAAATGTGTCAAAGATACAACAACCGACAAAAGAGCAGAAAACAGCCCAAGGCCACCAAAGGGTATTCAACACAGCGAAAAAATCCCACACCCAGAGGCGGGCTTCAGCTGGCCCCTGAACAAAATGTATACTAGTTCAGCGAAAATGGACGTCAGACTAAACTCCGAAACATATAAATGAACCAAAATTAAAAAAAAACATACAAGACTAACAAAGGCCAGAGGTTCCTGACTTGGTACAGGCGCAACAATGCGGCGGGGTTAAACATGTTTTGTGATATCTCAACCCTCCCTCTATACCTCTAGCCAATGTAGAATAAACAAAAAGTAAAACTCAGTTTAAAAGAAGTCAGATTCCGATGTTAGAATGGGTAACAGAAGAAACTAAGCAAAATGACAATGATCAACATAAATTTACAATGGACTACTAGCAGTCTGGCTTGCTTTATCTGACCGTGACCTTATTTCCAAGGATCATTGATAATGTTACATTTATGTTATATTTGTAGTCTGTAAAACTTTATCTTTAGGACTATCAACAAATAACCAATCTTAGTCAGTAAAGCAGGCGAGGTCCACCAGAAAGTACATTCTTTATTATCTTGAAATATAATAGATAGACAATTAAGTCTCATGGCCTGAATCGGCATCTAGCTCCCTACTTGATTAATTGCCCTATTTGTCGAGCCTGCGACATTTATGTCGCGAAAGCGAGACATAGCGGTCCTAGATTCCGTCGTCGGCGCAGGTGTCGGCGGCGTCAACATTTAGGTTCAGTCTATGGTTAAAGCTTTTTAGACATCAATAACTTTGTCAAACCTTCGTGGAATTTTATGAAATTTAGACAGAAGCTTGTTTATGACACAAATACAGTATCCAGAGCAAAATTTCGAAAATATTGATTTTCATTTTTCCTTATTTTACTGATAAATGGACTTAGTTTTTTTTACAGATAACATTCAGATTCAGTTTGAGGTTAAAGTTTTTCAAACATCAATAACTTTGTCAAACTTTCATGGAATAATATGAAATTTGGACAGAAGCTTGTTTGTGACCGAAATACAGAGTCCAGAGCAAAATTTTGAAAATATTTATTTTCATTTTTTCCGTAAATTACTGATAAATGGATATAATTTATTTTACAGTTAACAAGTTGATACAGTTTGGGGTTAAAGTTTGTTACACATCAAATACTTTGTGAAAACTTCATAGAATTTTATGAAGCTTTGGCAGAAGCTTTTTTATGATTTAGAGATCATGTCTGAAGCAAACGTTTGAAAATACATTTTCATTTTCAGTTTTTTCTGATAGATGGACTTATAGTTGTTAACGGTTAACATTTACAGACAGTCCGGGATTCAATTATTTTGACAAGATAATTTTGTAAACTTGGACAGAAGCTAATTTTCAAGACCACGAAATAGCATCTAAAGAAAAAGATCTCTATTTTTTTTTAATTCTTACTTTAACTGATAAATGGACTCACTTTTTAAGTCAACATTACACTTTTACACTGACAGCAGCAATCGTAGGCGAGACACAGGGTTCCGTGGAATCCCTTACGAACTATTTTACCATTTCCCCCGCCATATCTATTCAGAATATTTTACAAGGAGTTTTTGTATCATATTATTAGAGAAACAGCTTCAACCACTTGCCGCATACAGTAAATATCATCATATTTATCCGCTCATGCCAAGTCCTTTATATATATATATATATATATATATATGGATTTTAAAACTACAAAGATTCCTGAGTTGACAAATACAACAAAACAACGGGATTTCTGGTGTAATCTGTATTTATCAACCTGAAATTTCAATAAAAAGCATCTTTAACATTGCATCTCCTAAATCGAATTCTCACATTGTGAGAATGCTAGTTTATTCTACGGAAGCATATTAGCACCACACAACTTTTTTTTTTAATATTTCTTCCAATGTTTGCGTTATAACGGAAACCTTTGCGATATAACGCAATCCTTTGCGAAAAAACGCAAACATTTGCGTTATAACGCAAACATTTGCGAAATAACGCAAATATTTGCTTTATCTTATTTCTTATTTAAGATTCAAAGGAAGCAGCAGTTATAAATGGAGGAGGCTGCATATATTAAAATTTATCCCCCTTTGTACTCATTGCAAAGTAAAATGCTTGAATATTTAGAACATATCATTGACTAATAATGAGTAGGATAATAGATATAAGAAGATGTGGCATGAATGTCAATGAGACAACTCTCCGTCCAAGTAACAATTTCTAGAAGTAAACCATTATAGGTCAAAGTACGGTCTTAAACACGGAGCCTTGGCCCATACCTAACAGCAAGCTATAAAGGGTCCCAAAAATTATGTACATTATAATAAAATTGAGAATGGAAATGGGGAATGTGTCAAAGAGACAACAACCCGACCATAGAACAGACAACAGCAGGTCACCAACAGGTCTTCAATGCAGCGAGAAATTCCCGCACCCGGAGGCTTCCTTCAGCTGGCCCCTAAACAAATATATATACTAGTTCAGTGATAATGAACGCCATACTAAACTCCAAATTGTACACAAGAAACTAAAATTAAATATAATACAAGACTAACAAAGGCTAGAGGCTCCTGACTCGGGACAGGCGCAAAAATGCGGCGGGGTTAAACATGTTTATGAGATCTCAACCCCCCCCCCCCCTATACCTCTAGCCAATGTAGAAAAGTAAACGCATAACAATACGCACATTAAAATTATGTACATATATTTTACAAAGAAAATTGAGTAAATTGAAGTTATATCGAAGAATATAAAAAATCAACTCTGCTAATACAGCTACAGCCAAATATAAATATACTTCCAAAGTAAGCTCTCGTTTGAGGATTGTGTAAGGTTGGTTAGATCCAAACAAGCTACCTTTTTGCAATAAAATGAAGATGTTTTATTATTAAAATTATGTTCTATCCATTCAAATTTCTACCCAAGCATCTTAAAAGTTACTTCACTAGATTGAAATGAAAATTCTATGACTTTCTATCAAAGAATCTTTATCATATTCTAACATTTAAAAAAACGATTTCTTGCATCAAAATTTTAAAAAAAAATGTTTCTTTATTAATAATTCATTTTAAAGCAGAAAGATCATTTTGTCTATTTGACTTGCAAGTTTCACAATTGTATGACATTATTTTTGCTCTTTCAATTAAAATATGCCTATACCATATCTATTTTCTTGTTAAATTATATACTTTTCTGATTCAAAAATCATTCTTAATTTATGTATAATGGCACTTCAAGTATTCCCTTATTCCTATGCATATTTATTATAATGATTTGGCCTTGTATTTATGGTTCTTTTCTTATCTAAAATCACAACCGGAATTAATGACAGACGGACATATATACAAAAC